AAGGATGACGGAGGAAAGCAATTTGGTGGCGATGGAGACCAGACTGATTCTTCTGTGGTTACCGCACTCCGATCGTGTGATTCCGTTGAAAAATGGGACTTTGACGGAGCGGCTCCAGTCGGTTGGGACAGCTTCCTTCTCCCACAGTTTTACTAGTAACTCGTACAAATCATCCACAAGAGCAGGTCCCCTGAATTTGAAGAGGGCTGGAAGTACACTATCTGGTCCCGCGGCTTTATCTAGCTTCAACAGTCCGATCTCACGTTCGACTTCTGAGCGAGAGGGTGGATCCAAAGGGACAACCCACGGAGCGGGGCGATCAGTGGCCGGCGAGAAATCTAACCATTCCAACCGATTAAATTGCCTTTCAAAATGCTCAGTCCAACACTCCAAGCTTTTTGATAAGTTGTGGATAGGCTGTCCACTCGTCACGTATAGCTTCACTGACACCAGGTCTCCTGCTGCCCGTTTCTCGTATCAGCCGGTATAGCTTACAATGGTTGCCAAGGGCAGCGGCTATTTCCTTTTCTGAAGCACGATGAGACCACCAGGATTCGCAGTCTTTCTTCAGGCTAGCACGGTGTTTTGCCCGGAGTTCTTTGCAAGCTGAGGAGGGCCAAAAATTGGAGCTTTGGAAACAGGGGGATAAATGTGAAGCTGGAACGGGACGATAAGGATGAAAAAGCGTAAGAGGGGTAATGAGAAGACTGGAAGGCTTGAGCAGTAGCATCTAAACCCCTATCCATCCGTCTCGATGCAGCAGATAGGGCACCGTTGATAATCCTCTGCAGTGGCCAGTGGATCAGAAAATTGTTTGAGTAAAGACTCCTGAATCAGCAGGTTAATGAAGCGATTCTCCACGAACCGCCAACTTCTGTACAGGCACGTTAACGGCCTTCGAAAGGTGAAGCGAGGGATTCCAGCACTAGTCACGGCGGATGGATGCACGCGATCAGCAATGGAAGCAGCTGATTTCCTACGGCTTCATTACTCCCAAACTTTCCAGCAGCTAACGAGCCCAAATATTCTCCTCGTTTCTCTTACTCCACCATCGGGTTTAGGCAACATCACCTTCACTTCGGGAGCTGTGTTGAAGAAGCTGTTACCCTTGCGTATCCACAGTTCTCCTGGAGCCGATAACATCCGACCAAAGGCTCTATAGGCGGTAGCTAGTGATCTAGCGGAACCACTGGATGTTTTCTACCAGCGATGTCTAGAAGAGAAGCATATTCTACCAGTATGGAAGCGAGAGGTCATCACTCCTATCCATAAAGGAGGTAGCCGCACTGACCCTGCCAACTACCGTCCAATAACACTACTTCCTGTACTATCCAAAATGATGGAATCAATCATCGCAGATGCGCTGATGCAGTTTCCGGAAAGCCACAACTTAATAGCCCCAGGGCATCATGGCTTTCGTCAAAAGCGCTCATGTAATACTAACCTATTAGTTGCACGTAATAGCTGGACTGAAGCTGTTGATGATGAAGCAGGAGTCGATGTCATCTGCCTGGGCTTTTCAAAAGCGTTTGATCGCTTAGACCATCGAATTCTCCTTCAGAAGCTTCGGAGCTATCACACTGGCGACCCAATTCCGAGTTGGATTAGCAATTTTCTACATGAACGACGGCTAGCGGTGAGAGTCCGAGAATCATTGTCCGATGCAATCGATGTGGTGTGTGATATGCCACAAGGCTCGGTGCTTGGATATCGTCTATTCTTGGTGTTCATTAACGATTTGGCGAGATCAATTGCTTCCGATTTTTATTTTTCGCTGATGATATCAAGATTTGGCGAAGGGTCAGAGGACCGGACGACCACGAACTGCTCCAGTGCGATTTTAACACATTGTCGAACTGGTCAGTTCAAAGTGCCCTACCATTCAACGTAGACAAATGTCGCGTTGTACAATTACGCCATAGACATAACTACACCTAATCGCTTGGGACAAACGAATTGCAGGCCAGCTCCCAGGAACGCCAGCTTGGTGTGCCCGTACAGAGCGACCTCAACTGTTCAAAACTGGCTGAGGTAACTGCGAAACGATACAACCAGCACGTTGGCATGCTGTAAAGGGCATTCGGAAGATTTGACCCATCAATCTTCCCAAGGATTCACAATTCTTACGTGCGTCAGAATGTTGAATACGCCATCTAAGCTTGGCAACATTGGCTGAAGCACGACCTAGAGGCTTTGGAGGCATCACAAGGAGGAGCAACAAAGAATGTAAAGGGCTTACGCTATCGCTCTTACCACCGAAGGCTGAAGTTGCTGGGAATTTTCAGCGGATGCTATCGAAGGTTGCGCGGCGGTCTCATATTAGCATATCAGATATTGTGTGACCCCAACCACGTATGCCGTCATTTGCTGAAACTCAGCCACAACACGCAGCTCAAGGGTAACTGCTTAAAATTGAAGGAATCATATGGCCGTCTAGTGTGTCGACGGAATTACTTTTCCCTTCGGGTTTGCAAACCCTGGAATGCTCTCTCAGACTCAGTTGTGTCTTCTCCTACCTTAGGCGTTTTCAAAAAGTGATTAGATGTGGTTCTTGGCTCCCAGCATTTTGTTACCTAAACTCCTCTATTGTGGATTACACCAAGCATGCATTTCCACAGGATATATGTACCAAATGGACCCAAGTAAGCGACCATGTTTTAATTTTTTTCACGTTTCACTTCAACGATCACTGCACTCCAATGTATTTCTGAACGTTTACGCCCGATTTTTTTTATTTTACACTAATTTATTTTAGCAAAGTATTCATCTCGGCAGACATTCGGTAGATGACCCAGATATAATTTGATTTCATCGTATTCACCCCAACCATCCAACGGGACGTGTCAAACGCTTGCTTTTATCCCGTGATAAATCATTGTTCATTGTTCATCATTTATTGCAAAAGAAGTTTGGTAATTGTCCCCTCCCAAATTGGATGTTCGAAGGGCCCACCGTCGTTTTGGCTACAGAGGAGCATTCGCTGAATGGTGTTGGCGAGCACTTTCTGCAATGTCTCCAACAAAATCTACCTATATTCTTTCACAACGTTCCCACTCAAATCAGCCAAGTTTTGGGGTTCCATTCTATTAACTCTGCGCTTCAAGTATCTCCACAGAAAATAGTCCATGGAATGCACATCCGGTGATCGCGCAGGCCATTCTATCGATTCTCCGCGACCGATCCAGCGTCCACCGAATGTCGCGTTCAGAACCGATTGCGCTGAATGTGCAGGTGCGCCATCGTACTGCCACCAAACGTTATTCATTATTCCTTCCGACTGTAGCTGCGGAATGACGCTGCTCTGCAACATTTCCATGTACGAGGATGCTAAGAAATGTCAGATATTAGTACTGATAAACAACAACCTACCGAACTCACTCCTGGAAAAGAAAAGATCCTATTGATTTTTCGATCAGTCAACCCAGTCCAGGCCATGAGCTTCGTGCTGTGTTGCACACGTGAAGCACTTCAAACATGTTGCGTCTCTTCGCTATGCAGAGGGAACAGTCTCATCGGTGAACAAAATGGAATGCTTGTCTAGACTGTTTAAAAACAAACGGGCGAATTACAGGCGCTTCTGTGAATCGCATGCGTCCAACTCTTGCACCTCCAGTGCACTGCACCGATGAAATATTTTTCCTTCAATATCCGATGCATAGCATGCAATATGGTTTCGCAATGCTGTGCCAGCTACCGCATGTTGATGTGGCTGCTACTGCGTACCACTTGCGCAACCGCGCAAGCTGCTACGTCATCCATGACGGTGCGAGGCCGTCCGCTTTTTGATGTTCAAAACATCTAATTCATTGATATTTACCGATATTTCACACGTTGCATGTAAATTTAAGTAAAGAAATGAATTAATGTATGTTCTCCATTGTACACGAGAAACACCATCGAAAGCCTGATTAATTTGTACAACTAGCGATTGTCTGACTGTGAGAGCAATAGTTACATTCATGACTAAATTGGTGTGCTTTCTAATGGTGCCACCAGTGCGTCGGGGCAGACTGAAATCAAAGAGCATTTTCACGTCGTCAAGAAACCTTTTTTATGCACCCATGAGGGGTGGATTTTCAGCTGCAACACACACGCGATCAAATGGTAAAGCAGGCAACGCTGTAACCTTACAATGTGCTCCCGGCAGTAAGATTCCCTATAGCAGCGAAAGCGGCCTAATAGAAGCTTACGGGTTTGTTGGAAACCAGTCATGAGGCGATAACAGCTTTTGGGGAGATTGCAATAAGGCGCCCATCGACTGGTCATCACATACGGCCAGGCTGGTTTTCTCAGATGCTAGCACAGCGATACACTTCGCAGGAAATCCTTTTGCTGGCTTTTCACCTCCATGAAAGCCGACTACCGATCGATCGAAGCATGACACGTGCAGTGCGGCTATGTGGTGTCCGGCTCACGTCTAGTTCTCACAGATGAACGGAGTGCGCTCTGTTAGTCTTGCCATGCCGACGAGGCATTATGCATTCACTGCGGCTGTGGTGTCTGGCTAACCTTCACTTCCCAGCCGAACGGCTCGGTGTGCTCTGCAATCGTAAGCACACCTGTGGCGTCTGTGTCTCATCTCATCCCTGCAGGCAAAGCGGTTTGCGCTATTGTACAATTAGCAATTCAGCTTACCGGTTGTAAGTCAACACCTGAGTGCAGCCGCTCTTTGCTCCAGACCAGATTAACAAAACACCCGGTATACACTAGGTGCAGATAGCTTGCGTTGTTTTGATGGGGTCTCAGGCTACTTCGACCGAATTGTTAAAAGTGAAATACAAGCTAACCTTTGATCTCGAAGTGAGTTGTCAATAGTACAACAAGCGGAACGATAACCATCGCTCTACGTAACGTTTTATTTTATGCGATGAAGCATTACTTTTATGACGGATCCTCAGGTATAAGCTGAGCGTGGGGTAGAAGGTAATCATATTTCAACTAATTTGCCCCCACATGAAGAACAAAGATAAAATCTGATCTAGATAAACAGAACAGCTCACCCACACATCTATTCACATGAATACTGATGTAAGTGTTCTCATCCCAATGACGCGAAAAGGACTGGTGCGCCCATAGTTTGACTCGAGACGTTTCCTCCTTTTAGTGAAACAGACGATATATCATGTATGGCACGTGGGATAATGTGTTTTCAAGATGTCTTTTGAAGAGCATCAGTGTTAAGACCAAGTGATATGAGCTGGAAAGACGTTACACGTTCTGCATGGCAGAAGGAAGAAAAGGTTATTTTGAAAAGCAAGTCGACCATACTTTGAATTCGTGGTCTTTCTGGTTAGAATTGCGACTGAGAAGGGAGCCCTCGGTATATTGAAAAGGCACGGTAAGCTTAACGATTTATCGAATTTTGGTACCAAACATCTACCCTGGTCATTCAAATACCTACGCATAATTACACGGATTCGCTTCGGTGTCAGAGGCGATGATTCATTAGACCGACATTGCAACAACAAGTGAAACGTAACTCCATATTCAATGCTTCGCGTCACTTGATGTAGCGGCATAAGCCGTCGACCAAAAGAGTTGCTTCATTGCCAAGCTATCAAACCGGTATATGGCTTCATATCTTCCGCCTAACTTTGACCAACATGCATTCATTCACCGGTCATCTGTCCAGCCTACTCAAAGCTTACCTTAATTAAGTTGACTATATTGCGCAAGAGCAACATAACATCCGTCAGCATTCAGCGTACAATGACCATCTCCTGTTAGCATGGGACACTTGGACCGAATCAGGGGATCTTGGTGTAGGATTTGATGTTATCTATCTCGACATCCCTAAGGAATGTGATTGGCTGACCTGTCACACACTTCTAGTCAGCTATCGGGGGTACGGCATTGGTAATCCCCTCCCATAGTGTATCAACGACTTCATTTTGCACACACGTTTGGAAGCAAAATTACGCGGTTCAGTATTAACTCCAATACACGTGGAATACGGTGTCATAGAGTTCCAGGTAGGAGCCCCGATGTTCCGGATTGCCAGTTGTGATTACTTCCCGTTCCAATAATGAAACGTCAGCATAGGATAAAGATCGTTTTCGTTGATTCATCACGCTATGTACTACTTGTATAAGTAGCTAACGTAGACCGAGTAGAACACGTGTTAGGGTTGTAATTGAAGGTTGAAGTGACAATTTGACATCATCACGTCACCCTGTTTGTTTTACGGAGACGGCATAGATCCTCGGCGGTGGCTCATAGCTTCAACAGACTGCACGCAGTTTCAAAATGACCTCGACTAGATTCATGACTGGTCAGTCCACAATCGTCTTCAGTTCATCGTGAGTCGTTGTGGGGCACTCCATCAACAACACTAACTACTTCACGCCTATGCGTTTGGCGACGATGATTTCAAGCAATGTCCTGGGAAAAATGATCTCCATGTACTAATTCGGGAATACCTTGGCTGGTCGGAGTGATTTGCAACAGCACTGAAAAATGGCTTTTGATCAGTTGCACCAAGATATTTTTTAAAGTTACTTTCTGCATGCATACGCCAGCAAGTGGAATATGCAATTCAAGAATGGCTGAAGCAAGATCTCACGGTGTCCGAAATTTCCCAACATCCGGTTAATATTTACGTCAAAGGACAATGCCACTTACATTACGAACAACGCTTGAGTACTTTAGGAGTCTTCAGAGAACACTATGAGCTTGTGCCCGAGGACCTTATCATGAGCACCATAATCACTCGTGTTATCAGCTGCGCAACCTCAGTCGTAACAATAGACTGCAAGACACCGATTCAAACTGGTAGCCGGTTAGATTGTATACGGAATTTCTTCTCCCTACCTGTTTGTCACCTATGCAATTCACTACCAGAACCCGTTATTTCAGCCTCTACATTCCCTTTGTTCAAATCTCGTGTCGACAATGCGGTATTTGAGGTAGACCAAAGTACAACACATCTGAATGAATGAAAAAAACGTATTGACCCACGCGCATCCTTGGGGAAATCGGAGGCGGTGACATTTGAAGTTACCTTAAAACACTTGCGAACGACACAGGCGGAAGAAACCTTGCTTGACAGGTACACTGCAGCGATTCTTCGTTGTTTATCGGTTGCTTTTCCTTTTCCCTTTACAAATATTTCAACTCAACAATTTGTGGGATATGGGAATCCTATCCTTGTTTCGCCACACTAAACCACTGAGCGTACTCCTTTTTCTGGAGAACCGTAGAGTACACTGGCTGTCAATGCCTCTAATTTCAAGCGACCAGCTGCCTGTAATCTAATCTCTTCGCAATGAAATATTGCAGGTCTGCGTAATTGCAGAATGAGGAGAAAAGTAATAGCGTTTACAGTCTAACATTCTATTTGCAAGGCTGCAATCAGACATTTATCACATGCGCAATCCATCCCTCCGTTGGTGATTGTGTCATTTCGCCCGGGAGCTGCTCTGTCTATCTCGATCAGATTTGATCTGCTTATACCCTAGGATTCGTCATGAAAGTGATATTTCATCTTATAAAGAAAAACGTTGCGTGGAGCGATGGATATCGTTCCGCTCCTTATGTTACTGACAACTTAACTTCGAGATCAAACGGCAGTTTATATTGCGCCTCTAATAATCCCGATCGAGTCCCCACCAAAACGACGCAACCTATCTGCACCTCTTTTGTTGAGCAAATTGGAGTATCAAGCAAACCTGGTTCCCTCTGGTTCTCCATGCCTCACCTGCGCCCCGTCCTCAGACATGTCCTTTGATCGCTCACACGAAGGGCTTGACTACACTTCAGGTTTGAAACAGTTGTTCCGGACATGCTCTGTGCGCCTGCGTTCCCCTTCTCGCAGGGAGTGTGTGCGCTCCAGCATACGTCCCATACAACCCCATTGTGCAGTGAGAGCGCGTGGTACACTGTGCACCGGCTGAGATCGGTTTAGTGTGGCCGCAAATTCCGTCCATTAGAGTTGGACCACGCTGATCTCACCCAAGTCTAACAAGTTGCCTATCTCTCTCCAAATGCGTGAGTATTCTGCATCGTAGGTGTGTTTAGTCTCGACGCTATGCCGAATTCTGTTGGCTGCTAGCCATTGGCCAAACAATTCAATGGTGGATGCAATCCCAGTGAGTATAGAATGATAGCTTATGCACTACAAATAATAGCCGATGCACCACGGATGATAGCTGATACACTGTGGATGATAGCTGATGTAGTAATGATGCAAGGGACTGCGTTAAGTATGTTTGCACCTGAGAAATAGTATAGTGTTCGGGCAGGTGCTGCCTTTTGGCCAATGTGCAAGAATTTGCGCACGTTTAGGCATGCCACTCTTTGAGAGGATCGGGGGCTACAAGTAGGAATGTATAAGATGAGGTTGTTCATTTACTTGTCCACTGAAGTGAAGTGAGCCTCTGTGATTGCGTGTGATTTTAAACTGGAAGTCAATGGATCAATGATGTACTACGGGTAAAAACAATGTTTAACAAGTTCCATGGGATGGAAATCTAAGCGAAAAGTAAGTTGCATGATAAATTGAAATGCGATTTCGTGGACTCACCATAGACTTATGTAGAATAACGGGGATCTTGGCTTATTAAAATTATAAATCCATTGTTCGTTAGTTTGCTAAGCCACCGTTTGCTTGCTTTTTGTAGCCCTTGGCTAACAATTCATAAAATGAAATGCAAATGAGACAAGGTATCGTCAACTTCTTCTTCAAATATCGCCAGATTGGGAGAGGCTACGACATAATTAGCGAGGGCATTCCAAATTTGGCACATGCGGGGAGAAAAGGAATTTGTACGGTATTCAAACCGGCTATACGGTATCGTCTGTTTCAGAAGATGACCTCTCAGGTTAGTATTGTGGTTCAATTCCAGCAGCGGATGGCAAATGCGGTTGCGGTTCTTCAGAATCTGGAAAACTATTATGAGATCCTCCTGCAAACGCCGATATCGACTGCTGTACCTTCTTAGAGATTTCAGACTATCTGCTAAGACAGATGTAAGAGACCCCTAAAGTTCTTGGTTGCTCTTCTTTGAGGACCCTCAACAGCAACAAGACCCTGTTTCTGCCATGACTGCCACGCCTGGATAGGATATCCCACGTGCAGTCGCACGTAAGCGTTAATCATTTGGATGAAGATTGTGGGTTCAAACTGACCGAACGCTCTGAAAGCAGGCCGAAGTGTTGATTGTCGGTTCTCAACGACTACTCTGCTTGTTTCAGACATCCGAGATCTTCCTGTACCAGTACACCCTTGTAACGCTCCTGATGGGCATTTTGCAAGGTGTGGTTTCCAAGTTTGTAAAAGCGTACCGGCTGATGACGCAGACGGATCACCTTGCACTTAGCTATGTTCAACTGAAGCAGATTCCTCATTGACCATTTATAAATGCAATCTAGATCATTTTGGAATAAATGGTAGTCTTCATTGTTATTAACCGCCCGGCATACCTTGACATCACCGACGAAAAGCAGGAAATTTGAGGAGATAACTGCTGCCAGGTCGTGGACACAGACCAGAAATAAGCGCGATCCCAGCTCTGAGCACTGTGGGATACCACATTCCACCGCATTCAGCTTATACAGTGATCCGCTAACACGCATTTGCAGATTCTGTTGTTGAAGAAAGTTGCCAATCCAACTAAGCGCGGGATCTACGATTCCTTAACTCTGTAGCATGTGAAGTAGGATGTTGTGATTCAGGCAGTTGAAGGCTTTGGCGAAGTCCAGATAGATGACGTCAATTCCGACCCCGTCATCAGCCACTTCCGGCTAACTACCTCGTGCAGTCAGCAGGTTAGTGGGGCATGACAGGTGTTGACGGAAGCCATGCTGTTTCGGTGCTAAATGTTGCGTTTTTCCAGGTAGTCCATTAAAGTCTCAGCAATGACCGCTCCATCACCTTCGCGAGTACGGAGGGGAGGCAATATTTTGTAGGATCTGATAGGTTGCCGCCTTTAAAAACTGGGGAGTTAATGCCACGCTTCCCCATAGTTGGGACTTGCTGTTCATCGGAGCACCATTGGAAGAACTGTGACAGTGGTTCAGAGCGCTTGGTGGCCGCAGCCTTCAACGCTTTCGGGCCTATGTCATCTACTCCCGAAGAGCTATGCTCGCGCACTAAGAGTAACTTCTTTAGCACAATTGACGGTTTGAAAATTACATGTGTAAACACAAGAGTCGCTAATGTGCATGACATTATGGGACAGGTAGAGGTTGCGAGTTCGAAGATTGGGACGGATTGTAAC